ATGTATGGGACCGAATATAAAGAGCCGATTATTGGTCAGGAACTAGATGGAAGTGTGCTTAGATGTTTTAGGATGACAGCAGGTGCTGTCTAGTTCATTTACAGTTGAGTTTCATGCTCAGCGTCATCAGAAACGGTCCATATCGGAAAACGACAAAACTTTATGACGTCACTGTGACGTCATCTTTGGTGCTACAACCACCAAACTTTCTCCAAACATTGCCTAGGTATTCATTTGAAGCTATGCCAAGTTTCACGTTCGTAGCTCATCAGGTTTCGGAGATATTCCACAAAACGTAAAGGGGGGGCAACTTTATGCCCCCCCCCCCCCAGCGGCTCGTGGGTTATTAGTTGACCAGTTGTCGTTTTGAACGCAATTTTCTGTCAGACTAGTTCAGGGCACTGTTGCTCACTGTACCAACAACATTCTTACATATTGCATCGCTTTTCTGCAAGATAAGCTAGCTTTTTGCAAGCAGCTGCAAGACCTAAATGAAAATCATATCTAAATTTTTAAGTAGACTTTAAAAAAAACGTTATTTCGAGCAGCTAAAAATGAACATCTTATACTAGCCTCTGATTACTCATCTTTCGTTCCATATAGGTGCTTTGCTGCTTTTCCCTGCTACTTTTCGAGATATGCGCCAGTAAACCACATGATGTAGGGGCAATTGTCACCTCGCCGCTCTACTGACGGCCCGGCGCTCTTTAAAGCGCTGAAATTTATCAAAAACGAATGCTTATAATCTGAATAAAATATATGTCCCTGAGCTCAGAATTGATCAACGCACACAATGCTGTCAAAATTTTTGGGCCAAAGTCAATAATTAAGTCATTATGAACCCCCAAACACAAGTCAGTGTTAATCAACAACAACTTGCTGTTTAGTTAGACTTTTTGAGAAATGTTATTTCGAGCCGCTAAAGATGAGCATGTTATGCAAACAACTAGTCAATTGTCTGTCATGCCCTGTTGACGATTATTGCCTACTACTGCTACTTTTCGAGATATCGTCTGCTAAGTCACCTGATATAGCTGCTATGCCACCCTACCGGTCAGGGTCGCACGGCGCCTGCTGTGACCTGACCGGGCAGCAAAGCATTCCCAACTTACGTAACGATACAGATACTTACCTACTGGAAGGTAGCGCTCAGGTCATGCTATGTTAAGGTGCTGTCCTGTAACAGATAAACATGTATGTACATGTATAGTGATCTCACGGTGAGATAACTGTTTGTCCAAATATTTCACATTAAAATAGATCTTTATTTGAACACTTAGGTAAAATTGTAATAATAATTGGTTTCGTTCTTGAGGAATGGTCTGGCCTGGTAATATTGGGTGGATGGTTAGCAGTAGGAACAGTACAGCCCTGACGTTTCGAGTACAGAGTGTACCATGCTTTCGCGACGGCAATTATTCGAGTTTGTGCAGCGGAATGGAGGTTTCAGTAAAGTAAAACCAGAAGATATTGTGCAATTTGCTGAAGAAACGCTGCACACCGAGTTCAGCACACCAGCGCAAGAACGATGCCGCCTTGCAGTAACGTCACTCTTAAAGATTTTGAGGCATCGCTGGGGTGCAAGCTGCAGGATATTGAGCATTTTCATGCGAAGGCATGGGAAATGGTTGGATGGGAGCTTTGCTGTGCCTGAGGTGTGCGAGCCTGAAAATCCCATTCCCAGCCCGAGCCAGCCTTCGACCAGCAAGGGTCGAGGTCGTCCAGCCAGAGACTATGCTTCTCTGGCCCCAAGCAGCAAGCGTGCGCGGGTGTCTGCCTTAAGCAAACACTGTTCTGAAGAACTTCTGGACGCCACGCGCTCCAGAGCGAAATCCGAAGGTAAGAGTGACCTGGCACATGTACTTAAATCAGTCAATGAGACTCCGAGCAGGCCCACCAAAGTAAGGCACAGGCTGAGAAAGTCACCGAGCTGTCCCCAAAAATACTCAGCTGAACAAGCCCTTTCAGTGTTCATTGAAGGAAAGCATTCAAAAGAAACTTGGCAGTTCACGCGAAAATCAGCGAAAGCGCAAAATGCGGATATTTACCCCTCATATAACGTAGTCCGAGATGCAAAACGAAAGTGCTATCCAGATGGAATAACTGTTGAAGACTTCAAAGCTGAGGTCCCTTTGCAAGCTCTTTTAAATCATACGGCAGAGCGCATTATTGAACACCAGACTGATGTAATCGAGCAACTTGCATCTGACATCCCCCTTAGAGTCATCATGAA